AAGTTTGATGTTCTGGCATCTTCTTTATGTCTTCCCAATCTTTCTCTTGAGGAAAGCCCATCACATTAAAAATTCTAAAACACAGCATTGGTATTCAGATAAAGTTGATATAATAATTTTAGTATCAAATAAACTGCTGGTGTAAAAATGGTATAGAACATTATGATACAGATATAGATAATAATTAAAACACTATTAAAATCTTTATAAAATTATATATTTTATTATTTTAATAAAATACTGGTATGTGCTCAGAGTTGAAAAACATAGCAGATTAGTTGAATTTTCTAAGACTTTAAACTGATTCATAAAATTACTCATCTAGTGCTTACCATAATACTTTCAATGATATATTATGTACTTTTTGAAATGGGTTTTAAGCAAATTCGTATAAATTTAAGATGAAATTGCAACATTTTCTAATAAAGAATAATATAAATAACACTTTATTTTTTTGCAAATCACAAAATATAATATTAATTATTAATATCATTTAATATCATTTTTATTTGTACTACAAACTGCACATTAATTAAAATATGTAAATCATAATATCAAATTGTTGCTTTGATACAAAATACAATGAATTTGTACTAACTTTTTAATCCAATGTAATTTGTATAGATTGAAATATTAATTATAAGTTATAAATAAATTATGAAAGTTAATTGGTAAATAATGAACCAAATATTTTGTTCACATTTATTTCTTTTTACATTACACACAAAATGAATAWAATTGAGCAGTTTTTAACTTTTAACTTACCTATCTAATTGATCATGGTGGTATGGATTACTTGTTTTGATATCTTCTTGGCGACAATGAAAAATGGGCTCAGATGTTAATAACTCAGCAAATATACAGCCAATTGCCCAAATATCTAAATTACATTTAACAAATAAAATTATTATCAGTAATTAACTATCATTAACTATCACTATATTTTATTTCAATAATAAATTCTTGATTTTAATAAATTACTATAATTAATAATCATGTAGTTAATATAACAATAACTTGAAAATAGTAACAGTTGTTATAATTATATATATTATAATTAASTATAATATTTGTTTATAGTTGCTATTGACACTGMCAAAATTTTTTATAAAAATATATTGTTCAGAACTATGAAATAAAAATAATTTAATATTGGTAAAATAAAGAAAAAAATCTAAAATTAGAAGTAATAAAAATAAGGAATTAATGCAAAACTATAATGTTGATTCAGAATATATTAATATGCTTGTTTTAATTTTATGAATAATGTATATATACCTATAGCTTTAGTGTAATGTCTTGCACCTAATAGAAGTTCAGGAGCACGATACCAAAAAGTAACTACAACTGGATCAAGATCAGCAAGTGGTTTTAATGGGGCATTGAAAAGYCGAGCGAATCCCATATCAGCTATTTTAACTCGTCCTCTTTCAGGGCCCTCACCCATTACTAAAATATTAGCTGGTTTCTAAAAATAAAAACAATTATTAAAAGTTCTAAGAAAAGTTACAAATATAATTTACCAAATCTCTATGTAAAACCCAATTTGAATGTAAATAGTGAATTCCATCAAGGATTTGAAACAGTAAAGATTTAACCATTCCTTTGGGAACCATTACTGGTTTTTTATTTGCTTTTGCTGCTCTATGAAACTTAATTATATGCTAAAATACAATAAAATGTTTAACTTTTAATTAAATGCAACTGTTAAAATATTACTGAATATAATTTATATATTTTTAATATATATACATATAATTTAATCATTCATTAAATGTTTTTAAAAATTCTTTCTAAAAAAATGTCAAATTTTATGTATATATTGAACAATGTTAATATCTGTTAATGAATAATAGTTTACAGAAATTATGCATCATCTTATTGTTATTTATTTTTAAAATATTTTCTTACATACCTACATGCATTTATATTGTTTGATTGAATTCACTATATTTATATAAATAATACACTTTTATCAGTGATACATTTTTTTATGTACCTAATTGTAAATT